CCTGATAAACAAATCCCACAGGTTCCAATATATCCTTTTTAATTTTATATGTAGCAATATAGTTTTCATATTAAATAACACTATAGTAGAATGACTTGATGTTTTAAATAGAAGACAAAAGGAAAATTTTCAGGTTTTAAAGCTCCTTCAAAATAATTTTTTAATTAATTAATTAATGTCATTCTCTGACTGTATTATTCTATTATAAGGACAATTCTAAACTGGTTTAACCATTTTCTTGTTGATGGATACTTGGTTTTTCTTATACAACCAATTTTTTTTTGTTATTTCAGTGGCAAATATTATGAAATATATATTCAATTAATATGTTTTCTTACAAACCTTTTGAAAACTAATTTAATACCCCACGATTGCTATAGCACCACTAAACTGATTTTGAAAATCTTTGACCTTTGTCAAGCATTTCTCCTGTGCATCCCGATGAAGCCCTCAGCGGGTGTCAGAACTTTCTCTTTCCTGCTGCATTAAGACATCTCTGTGAGCAGAAAGGGCTAACCAGTGTCTTTTCTAAACAGGTATGTCTACGTTGCAGACATACTAGCTCATGAAATCCATGTTTTGGAAAAACAACCTAATATGAATTTAACTCAACTAAAGGTGAGTATTTAGTTTTCTGTGGAGCTGTTCATTGGTTGTTCTATGTGCTGTTCTGGCCGTGCTGTTCTAGCTGGGCTAACTGTAACAACAACACACCGAAACACAGCACGGGTACGGGCAGGGCAGCCATCTATGCTTTTCAATATTCCCTTCCTCCAACAAGACAAATCTGTTGGCAGCTGTCACTAGGACAGACAGTGATTGCAGCCAGCAGTGGATTGAGTGATATTGGCATCAGGTTTAGGACTGTTCGTGAGGTATTGACAACATCTAATGAATCCCAATAAGACTTTTCACAGTTGAAAGAAATAGTTAAGTTTTCAAATGAAGATTTATGTGCATTCAGTTTTTCAATAATAAATGAAGGTAGAAATTGATTTTCCCACCATTATTATTTTCCATAAACACATATTTTAGGTTGATTAAGAATTTCCTGTCTTGTTTTAATAGTTAACTGATCATTAACTAGCTAACTGATCATTGTGTATCTTTTAAAACAAAGGTTTGTTATTTTATTATTTGGACAGATGGACTATCACCCTAGATTTTGTATTTTCAGAGAAGATGAAGAATGGCTTTAAGCCAGTTCATTAAATTTATTTTAAGTGATATCAGTGTTAGAAGGGCAGGAGCAGGGAGACGTGTGTAATGCCCCACATCCATAGAAATGGGAAAGGTTAGCTCTAAATTATTTAATCAGGTTGCTTGCATCAATTAGATATTGACATTATTTCTTTTTAAGGTTCTGCAGTTGGGCACGCTGGTGGACAATTTATCTATTGATCCTTCCTCGGGTGACATCTGGGTTGGCTGTCACCCTAATGGCCAGAAGCTCTTCGTGTATGACCCAAACCATCCTCCATCGTCAGAGGTTTTTATATTTTGAGTTTTTCAACCTTAATTATTCAAGTCCTCTGAACTAATAATGCAATAAACTGTCACCAGGATGATTTGTTAGTTCTTTTAAACCAATAATACAATAAACGTGGGAGGTAGTTTTGTAATTGCTTTAAGCCAATAATTGGCAGAATGTTACATTGTTCAAAGGCTTTGAGAAAAGTAATCTTTTGATGAATTAAATTATGGTGGAAACTAGTCAAAAGTCATTTTTATAAAGATACGGGTTCTGCTCATGTGGTATACTGGCAGTTTTAAAAAGATCTGGTTTATTGTCAACTCGCCACATGACGTGAGCTTTGTGGAAGTAGTGTCAAAGCGACCACAGTGGTTGGCGCCTATTTCCATCAATGCTGAATTGCTCTAATGACACAAAATCCTGTGTTGGCATGGCATGACTAGGCGCTTTAAAAGTCCTTTCTTTGGAGGCAGGAGAAAGTACGTTAATTTAAGCATTAAGGAGATTGGTCACTGCTGTTTTCAGCAGCATGCCTTCTTAATCATGTGTCTTTGGGGAAGACAAGGGATTATTGGTGTTTGAGTGGCATGGCTGTGTGGGGTTCTTTATTAATGTTTCCTATCACCTGCGTAGGTTCTCCGCATCCAGAACATTCTATCCGAGAAGCCATCTGTGTCTACAGTGTATATCAACAATGGATCTGTCCTCCAGGGAAGTTCCGTGGCGACCATATATGATAGAAAACTTCTTGTAGGCACTTTATACCAGAGAGCCTTGTACTGTGAACTCTAAATTGTAATCTTGGCATCAAGTGCAATAAGTTGTAGCAAAACAATCTTTTAACGAACTGCTAATTCTGAGGGAATTTAACCATCAGTACCAACCTAGGAATATACCACATACATAGTTCATTTATTTCAATAAGGAAAGGCCCAGAATTCTGATGCACTTTTGGCATCAAAAGAAAATGATTGTTGTTATTTTTTTAAATATTATTGTATTTTTTTTAAAATGCCAATACAAGAAAGAAGCTGCTTTTGAATAAAGTGAATGTGTTTTGCACAGAGGGACTTCACTTCCCACCCCGTAGGAGCCCACTGGAACAGGATGAGTTGTAAAGTCAGTGGCCTCAGTCCCCATGCTGGGACCGTTGTGCACGCTCAGGACTACTGATAGATAACATTGTGATGATCTGTTCTTACAGCTTTGTTTACTGTCTTACAAATTAGAACTGTAGTAAAGACTAACCAAAATCCAGGTTTTGTTTCTGTTTAATTCCTGAAGTTGATTCTCAGGAGAACAGAAAGGAGGTGACTTTTAAGGGATTTGGTTGGACAAGAATGGCCATATTAATTTCTCATGAAAGCTCAGTGTAATGGAGCTCTTTTGTGGAAAAAATAAAATAAATCAACTGAATACTTTAGCTCAGAGTTTTATTTATTTACATTTTCTTTGAAGCAGAATCTCATTCCATAGCTCTGGCTGACCTGGAAATTGTTGTGCAGACCAGTGTAGTCTCAAACTCACAGAGATCCACTAACCCGGTCCACAGATTGTCAATTCCTAAGGCATCTCCTGTAGGTTCTCTTCCTAAATAGAAGCCTACTTTCAATACAAAGAGGAGATAAAAGCTTGGAGTTGACATCTTATATCTTACCTATTCAGTGAACAGAACTATGACCAGAAGCCAGGAGAGGTGAGACTGGCTGTCCAAGCCTTCCTGGTTAGGTAGCACTATACTACATCAGGGCTAAGGGTGCCAAAATCACAGGAGGAACATTTTTTTCCCCTCTAGCTCCAAAAAGGGTCCTGAAGAGACTTTAATATGCTTCTTTCTATTGTCACTTACACTTATTAAAATCTTATTATAAAGGACGTTCACATAAATCACCATTGTCTCTTACAAAGTCTTTTGCTTCACTTCCCCATCTTCTTCATTATCAAGACTCTTATTAGTTCTCAGATGTACAGCCATTGAGAAGCAGCTCGTTCTCAGATGCCCAGCCACTGGGAAGCAGTTTGTTCTCAGATGCCCAGTCATTGGGAAGCAGCTAGTTCTCAGATGCCCAGCCATTGGGAAGCACTACTCTCATTATTCCACTTAATCCTAATTGCAGCCTAGAGGGAATAGATGTCGATATTGTATCATTGTTAACATTTCACAGTCGGTCAAGGTCACACACCTCCTGAGGGTGAATATCAATCTGTTTCTAATGCCAGACCCTGAACCATTAGCAATTAGATGAAGCTACTGCCATAAAACCAGGGCTTCAGAGTCACCCAGTCCCTAGTGTATACAGTGTGTTCTGTTGTGAGTTTTCTTACAACATACCAATTTGAGTTCTATGCTATGTTAAATGATTTAATGGCTTTAGGATGGGAATTGCAGAAGTATTCTTAAACTTGGTCTGTGGTTCATTTAGCCTATAATTTGTATTTATATTTTTCTGTTATTTATTATTTTACATTTATTTTGTTAATAATAAATTGGGGGTGTATTTCAGGCTAAGGAAGTGAATGCTTCTTGCTGCTTCTATTGTCCGG